ACTACACTACACTACACTACACTACACTACACTACACTACACTACACTACACTACACTACACTACACTACACTACACTACACTACACTACACTACACTACACTACACTACACTACACTACACTACACTACACTACACTACACTACACTACACTACACTACACTACACTACACTACACTACACTACACTACACTACACTACACTACACTACACTACACTACACTACACTACACTACACTACACTACAATACACTACACTACACTACACTACACTACACTACACTACACTACACTACACTACACTACACTACACTACACTACACTACACTACACTACACTACACTAAACTATCCTAACACTACACATACTGGTCTGTGCACTACACTGCCCTAACACTACACATACCGGTCTGTGCACTACACTGCCCTAACACTACACATACTGGTCTGTGCACTACACTGCCCTAACACTACACATACTGGTCTGTACACTACACTGCCCTAACACTACACATACTGGTCTGTGCAGTACACTGCCCTAACACTACACATACTGGTCTGTGCACTACACTGCCCTAACACTACACATACTGGTCTGTGCAGTACACTGCCCTAACACTACACATACTGGTCTGTGCACTACACTGCCCTAACACTACACATACTGGTCTGTGCACTACACTGCCCTAACACTACACATACTGGTCTGTACACTACACTGCCCTAACACTACACATACTGGTCTGTGCACTACACTGCCCTAACACTACACATACTGGTCTGTGCACTACACTGCCCTAACACTACACATACTGGTCTGTGCACTACACTGCCCTAACACTACACATACTGGTCTGTGCACTACACTGCCCTAGCACTACACATACTGGTCTGTGCACTACACTGCCCTAACACTACACATACTGGTCTGTGCACTACACTGCCCTAACACTACACATACTGGTCTGTGCACTCGAACGCGGCGATACTCTATTCATGAGGTTGGATTTCTCTGCGGGTCAGCACTGTACAGCACTGTACATGACAACAGAACCCACTGCAGGGTCAGCTCTGACTACGATCGAGCTGTTTGCATGACTCGTACTGATTGATCTGCATGCTTCTCGCCTGCACGTGCAAACATGTTCACTGAGTTTCGGCCCTACATCCGCCAAAAGGTTCGGGTAACCTAGCGCCGCCCTTGCCCCCCCCCCCCCACTTCCTACGCCACTGGCATGTACATGTGTGTGTATTTGTGCTTGTGTGTGTGTGTGCCCCGCCCGTATCGCCCTACAGTGACTGATCGTCAGCACTTTGAAGCACTGCCTTCCTCTCTCCTAACCTCTCTGACAGCACCTCCCTTCGGGGAGCGGCGTGGCCATTTCTGGCAGCTGTCAATAGTAGTGTGTGTGTGTGTGTGTGTGTGTGTGTGTGTGTGTGTGTGTGTGTGTGTGTGTGTGTGTGTGTGTGCGTGCATGCGTATGTGTCTCATATGGTGCAGTTCTAAGTGCAGTCGATTTCTGATCGAGATGTTGCGGGTTCGATTCACGAAGACTATGGTCACACACGTCTTTCTTCTTTTTCTCAGACTCCTCCTGACTTTTCTTTCATTCTGCTGCGTGGTAACAACCAGTGCATGCCGGAGTATGCGGTGTGATGTTTGTGTGGGATAGGAATGAGGAAAAAAGATCAAAAGGTAGGGGATTGACCAGCCCGAAAAAGCCACTTTAAATAGCTGTGTGGTTTAGACCAGGCTGAATAGCGGAGTTATAATCTTCAGCCTTGCAAGCTATTGAATGGTGCAGTCCCAGTACAAGTTGCTATGGCTTCTGCTGTATGCATCGCTATCATGACCTCCAGCGTCAAAAGGCCAAAAAGTAGGGGTGAAACGGTTCCATGTTTTTCATGTTCGGGTACCCGAATGCCAGCATTGTTTCCCACGGTTCGGGTATCGGTTCCATGCACTCTTTTCTCCAGACCGACAAAATGCATTCGCGACAAAAAAAAAACCTTTTTACGAGCAAGAATGAGACATCGGAGAGTCCAAGTGCGAAGAAGATAATGACCAGAGAACTCTTTGGAAGAGTCGGGATCGTAAGGTAAGACATTTAAAATCTTGAGTAGACGACGTGTACATGTATTTTTTTATTCGAGTTTCGTTTCGAAATTTGACGAAACGGGTACCCGATTCTTTTCAGCTGGCGGTTCCAAAACCGGTTCCTTACCCGAACCGTTTCACCCCTACCAAAAAGGTCAAAAAGGCAAGTGTTTGTGTATCTGTGTGTTTATGTGCGTGTATATATGTGTGTGTGTCTGTGTGTACGTGTGTGTCTGTGTGTGTGTGTCTCTGTGTGTGTGTGCACGCGTGAGAGAGCATGCATGTGTCTGGTTATGTATGGGTATGGGTATGGGGTGTGTGCGGGTGTGTGATTGTGCCTATTTACATGATCTACATGTAGGTGTTTGAGAAAGGAGGAAGGCAGTTGAATAAGTTTGGTACTAAAGGAAGTGGACCAGGACAGTTCATCAACCCATGTGGTATTATCCCGTCCAACGGCAGATTGCTGGTTGTGGATCAGTCCAATCACCGTATCCAGGTTAGGCTATTGTTCTAGGAGGATTTCCATGGCATAATGTGTGTATATGTGTGTGTGTGTGTGTGTTTGTGTGTATGTGTTTTGTCTTGCTCTTGAGCAGGACGGTTTGAATTTTTTGAGCTCTTCCGTATCTGGTCTTCTTTACCGTTTCCCAGCGTGGCAGCTCTGGGCCCTCCAGAATTGTCTTTAGTTCTGCACTAGGCAGGTTCATCGGGGAGTGGGTTCACGGCACAGTCGCCAGGACAAATTATTTTTGATATTGTCACGGCTGTGTCGTCCACTCTCCGCCATTCGCAGTGGGTTGGCGACCCCTCGGATGTGTATCTCTTTAGCTACGACGCGACCCGAGTCATGTGTCGGGGGCAGAAGCGGAGAGACGAAGACGAAGAATATCCGCTTTGCGACGTGGAACGTCCGAACGCTTGTCAATGCTGACGGCTCTGTCGAGACTGCCGCTCGTCAGGGCGCGTGAGCGAGGATAGAAAGATAAATTTAGTAGTCCGCGAGGCCGAGCGCTTGGGTCTGGAGGCAATTGGACGGCAGGAGATGAAATGGTTCGGCGCGGTGTCGTACTCTGTTGGTGATGCGTTGGTTATATCGTGCGGTAGACCTCTGCCGACTGAGAATTTCACTCGTGGAGAAGGAGTCGCCATCTTGTTGAGGCGGCGTGCCAGACTGGCGTTTGAGCGCGGAGGCTCGCAGCAGAGTACTGTCTCGTCCAGACTTATGACATGTAAGTTGAAGTTTCCTCTGTGTACTGGCACCCAGCGACAGTGCTCTGCTGAGAGATCCTCTGTGTGGGTACATCTGGTTGTTTGTTATGCACCCACGTTCCGGGCCAGTCGATCAGTGAAGGACGCATTCTATGCAGATTTGCAGCAGGCTGTCATGGCTGTTCCTCTCTCAGATCATTTGATCGTCCTTGGGGACTTCAATGCACGTGTGGGTTCTGCTGTTGAGCCTCAGTCTTCTGGTTTGTGGCGGGATGTCCATGGAGGCTTTGGCATTGGTGAGCGCAATGATGCTGGGATGGAGTTGTTGGATTTCTCGTTACGCAATAACCTGACCATCTGCAACACCCATTTCCGGAAGAGGATGATACATCTGGCTACGTGGCGGCACCCAAGATCCCAACGTTGGCATTGTATTGATTATGTGCTTGTCCGTGTAAGTCAAATGCAGTATGTTGTGGACACCCATGTGATTCGTGGTGCAGAGTGCAGTACTGACCACAATCTCTTGTGTATGACGTATTGCCTGCCGGGGAGGATTGTGCCCGGCCGAAATCAGAATCAAAAGCGCAGGAACCGGCGGTTTGCGGTTCAGGAGCTGCTGACTGTGCCAGGTATGACTGACGAGAGGCGGGAGTTAGTCGAGTACACCCGAGCAGAGTATAGCCACTGTCTGTCTGGTGGCTTGGAGAACTTTGATGCTGGCGGACTCATCGAGGTGCAGTGGTCCTGTATTAAGAAGGCTATAACGTCATCAGCTAAGGCTGCAATCGGGCATGAGAGATCAGGCATGAGAGGCGTAGCAGTCCTGACTGGTTTGTCCAGAGTGCGGCCACATTGGAGCCCATTCTGAAGGCCCGGAATGATTTGTATCGGAAATGTCACTCTGGTTCCCGGGCGGATTTGGTTGCCTACAGGGAGGCCCGTGGTGAGGCCCGTGCGGCTGTTTGTTCCGCAAAGGAGAGCTGGCTCAGTAAATAAGCTGACATCGTGGAGACTGAGCGGTTTAATACCAAGAGTGCCTGGGCTGCCATTCGGGCGATTCAGCGATGCTTTGGGGGTATCACACCCATGAAGGTGCAATCCATCCAGGACACCGATGGCATTTTATGCACGTCGTTGGACGCCATCTCATTCAGGTGGTATGAGCACTTTTCAAACGTCCTTAATACCAGGAGCCTCTTTGACTTGGACGTTTTCGGTACGCTGGAGGTCAGGCCCGTCGACGAAGAGCTCGCCATCCCTCCATCTCCTGAGGAAGTTGGTCGAGATATACGTGCAATGGTTAATGGCAAGGCAGCTGGCGCATCGAGGATCCTGCCCGAACTTGTGATTTATGGCTCCAGTGAGCTGCATGAATTTTTGCTGGCCTTGCTTTTGACTGTCTGGTCCTCAGGTGGTGTTCCTCAGGAGTGGCGGAATGCCCAGCTGGTGCCAATCCCGAAGCGTGGAGATCTATCGCTCTGTGACAATTGGCGTGGGATCTCTCTTTTGGAGGTGGTGGGCAAGATGGCTGGTCGCTTGATACAGAACCGCCTTCAATCTAGGGCCGAGCATCTCCTCCCGGAGTCTCAGTGCGGATTTCGACCCAACCATGGCTGTGCTGATGCTGTGTTTACTGTCCGGCAACTGGTGAAAAAGGCATACGAGCATCGTACAAAAATATTTTGTATCTTCGTGGACTTGAGAAAGGCATATGATTCTGTGCCTAGGGCTGCGCTGTATCGTGCTCTTTCTGTCCTTGGTATTCCTCCGACTCTCCTCAAGGTCATTGAGTCATTTCATGATGGCATGGTGGCGGAGGTGCGTGTGCCTGGAGGTGTCACGGCCTGAGGCAGGGGTGAGTAATGGCCCCAATCCTCTTTAACCTCTATCTGGCTCTGGTGCTTGAACGTTGGCGGTCTGTTCTCGCTGATCGTGACCCAGACATTGGATGGCCAGTTTTTCAACCCAGCACGACGAACCCGTACCTATCAGCAGACCGCTGTTGCTGATGTTGAGTATGCGGACGATGCAAACTTTGTAGTTGGTTCGCGGGAGCATGCTGTGTTGGCCTTGACGGCGTTCCAGGATGTTTCTGCTGAATTTGGCCTCACTGTGAGTATACCCAAGACTAAGTTTATGGTGGCTGGTGTTGGTGTTACTTCAGTTGACACTGCTGGCATTCCGCTTCATGGACAGGTGGTGGAAAATGTTTCCTCCTTCGTTTATCTGGGTTCTGTCATCACTCCGGATGTGCGTTCTGCGGGAGACGTTTCGAGGTGTTTGTCACTCGCCTCGCGTGCCTTTGGATCGCTCCAGGATGTGTTTGCTAATCGTGATCTTTCACTCCATGTGAAGCGCCGATTGTATAACGCCTGTGTGATGACAGTGCTACTGTATGCTTCGGAGTGCCGGTGCCCTTTGCAGGGCGACCTCCGGCGCCTTGATAGTTTCCACCACCAATGCATCCGTAGCATCTTGTGTGTTTCCCGAACACAACAGTGGGAGGAACGCATCACCAATGAGCAGCTCCGAGAGATGTGGGGTGATCCATCGCTATTGTCCTCCCGGCTTCGGAAGCGGAGGCTTGAATGGCTTGGCCATGTGGCCCGCATGTCGGATGTTCGTGTGCCCAAGCAGTTGTTGTTTGGCTTCCTACCGTCGCCTCGGCATGCGTGTGGTCCCCGTCGTCGCTGGAGGGATGTGATTTCGCCTGATCTGCGGCACATCGGCATTGAACATCTGGCTTGGTATGGGATTGCTCAGGATCGATCTGCCTGGCGGGTGTCTGCCGTTGGGCCGAGCCTCGGCGGTCCTTCCCATGACCAATCTCAACGGGTGGACTGTCTTATCTGCCCCCGTACGTTTCGTCGGCCAGGTGACAAAGCCCGACACAAGTGTAGCGCAGAACGAAGTCTCCCCATCCAGGAACAGCGTGGTGCTGTGCAGTGTGGTACATGCAGGAGGTGGTTTCACTCTCATGGTGGCTTGCGTGTACATCATTGTTTGCCCCTGGAGCCATCGGAAGCGTCCGCGCCGGCATCACCTATACCGCTCAACGTCCCAGCTTCTCTCTTGTGTGTGACATGCAATCGGCAATTCAAGTCAGTGTCTGGTTTCAGACGTCACAAGTGCGACCGTGGCCATCGAGCAACCAAGTCTGATAGAGTGTCGTATGGTGTTCGCTGTTCTCGCTGCAACCGTCAGTTCCGTCGACAGAGTGACCTGAGTCGTCATCTGCGTTTCTGCTCCTGACAATGACTCTGGCTCCTTTCGGAGTGGTGTGGCCCTTGTGGCAACCAAGCTACAGTAGTAGTGTGTATGTGTTTGTGTTTGTGTACGTTTGGGTGTTTATGTGTGTTCGTTTGTGTGTTTATGTGTGTTCGTTTGTGTGTTTATGTGTGTTCGTTTGTGTGTTTATGTGTGTTCGTTTGTGTGTTTATGTGGGTGAGTTTATGTGCATTTTTGTATGTGTATAGATTCTTGGTTGGAGAAAAGCAATTCAGCACACGAATCACAGAAGCAATACAGTTTCGAGTTTTTCGACTAGGCCTTTCGTAACATTACTTTTCAAGTCGAATACAATGGTGATTAAAAAGGTAGCAAGCATGTCCTTATAGCCAGCACTTTGGCGGTCAGAACATTAACAAAATAGCATTTTAAAAGATAGCGATTGTGGCGCCAACTACATGTTAACCGGTCAGAACATTGATGAGCACTAAGAGACAGCGCTAGTAACACCAAACCACGTAGTGAAAATAATTTATTTACTACTATCTAACAACAATAGGGACCACAGTACTACAATGGCAAAACAGTGACAACTTTTGCACAATACTTCTTTTGCACACACAATTCAAATATGCACATGTCACTCATTGCAAACATGGCACTCCTTGTCACTTTACCACTCAAGCACGTGTGTGCTCAACAAATCTCACCTTGCTGTTCTGGAGGCAGTGTACATTGCAAAGCTGAAGCCTGAACGGTGTGAGCGATAGAAGCATGTGCGAAAGGTCTCACTATTTTGACATTGTAGTACTGTGGTCCCCATTGTTGTTTGATACTAGTAATATTCATTGTTTCACTTTTTAGTTGACATCACTCGCACTGTCTTTTAGAGTGCTATTTGGTCAATACTCTTAACGCCAAATATGAGGTGAAGTTGCGGGTTAAGGGAGGGTGGGGGGGGGGGGGCGCACACGCCCTCTCCCCCCCCCCCTCCCCACGCCCCTCCCCAAAAAAGGTTCGACCTGGGTTTGAAAGAAACACCAGACTGCTGCATGC